AGCTCCAATGTATTTCTTCAAAAGAGATTGGGAAAGCAAGAAATAAGAAAGCTGTGGCAATCTAACAAGACTGTCCAAAGCAACTCTGGAAGCCCAGACATGGTTGTATACCACTGAGGGTTGTATACCACTGAGGGTAGACTTAGTATAATTCTTTGTGGCAGAAGAGAAAGGAGAGCCAAAAAGTACCTCAGGGCACACTATGAAAAGTGAGGGTGGTGGAGTAGGCAACAGATTATTAACTGATGAAACAAGTAAAGTATAATATTACCTTCATAATTACCGTTATTATGCTATTTATGAACTAGAGCACAGCTACATGGCTTCTCAGATTTCTCCCTTTGTTGTCAGGCAATGTAGGATTTTTTTTTTCTTTAGTAATAAAATAAAACTTATTTCTTGACATCTTCCCAGAATTTCGATTTCAGTGTAACTTTTGTATTTTGTAACCCTGTTTTTAAATAGTCTGCTTTTATTGAATTGTATCAACATTATATAAGTTCAATGCTTTAAAAGTTAGAGTTCGCTTTCCGTAATTTTACTTTTAAAAATTATTTCTAGGATTTGGTATTCTTTCTGTTGACCTGGGGTCATATGCAAATATGGTAGTACTTAACAGCATGCTTGCTTTCATTTTACTTCACTATGACAGATGAAAGGAAAGATAGTACTTCACTATGACAAATAAAAGGAAAGTTACTACATATTAGAAGTGAAGAAATGCTTGGATATGTTACTGAGTTCAGAACCACTGGGAAAGACTACCCAGACTCAGGGGGACGGGCAAGCTGGTAATCTTGGAAGCTGTCTTGAGGAGAATGAAAGGGAGGTTTATAGCTTGCGTGGAGGTCAAACCCATGGCTGGATGGCAGCCAAATGGCTGGGAGAAGGAAGCTTTAGAGAAAATAAATATAAGGCACTAGGGGCAGCCCAAAGCCTTCCTGAATTCAGCCAACTCACAGACTACATGGCTGTAGCTGGTTTGGAAGTTCTGCACTAGTAGGCGGGATTCCAGGCAGGAAAAACTCACTGTCTCATTAATGCACTAGGCATTCTGCCCATCTATTTACCATAACTTGCCTTCATAGGGGTGGTCCTATGACCAGATGATTGGCCAGTTAAACTTACACAAAATGGAGAGCTTGAGGTATTACAGATATAGTTGTTTTAGTTTGGGTAATTTTCTTGTATTCACCATTATGATGGAGAGTTCCTTTGCCTTCATACATGGAGTAGTTAAAACTATGAGGCTGTGACTTTCTCTGGGGATTTTGCTTAAGGGTTTAAGACTTAGGCCTTTGTATTTACCTATGACCTAAAGAGTTAAGAGGTAAAATTAAATTGGTGATTGTGATGATATATTGATCTTTTTTTTTTTTAAAGCAGGAACTCCTAGCTGGGCGTAGTTGCGCACACCCTTAGTCCTAGCACTTGGGAGGCAGAGGCAGGCGAATCTCTGTGGGTTCAAGGCCAGCCTGGTGTACATACTGAGTTGCAGGCCAGCTGGGGCTACAGGGAGACCCTGTTTCAAAAAAAACAAAAACAAAAACCTGGAACTCCTGACTTAGAAAGCTTTATTTTCTTTTATTTCAGTAGAAATCCAGGCCTGGCATTGGTTGTTTTCACTACCCTTGACCTTTAGCTAAGTTATAAATTCATTCTATTCCTTCACATAATTACTTTGAATTCTTACTATGTAGAAGCAGTGGGGAATTAGTAACCTCTTCAAGGTGGTATCTTAATTAAAGGCTTCAACTATTATAGTTTATTTTGTTTTAATAATTACTCATTACAAAAAAAAAGACCATCTTTCTGAAACAAGTTGGATTTCCTCTATAGAGTGATACTTGATTGGCAGTTATTTTTATGTAAACACACAATATAACCCATGAAGATTACCCTCGTTTTTCTCAGTTTTTCTACAAACTCTAGTAGCTACTAAGCCTGCCAATATTTTACCATCAGTTTGAAACTGAGCATCTGTTAAGAATGTTCTATCTTGAACACCTACTTTTTGACCTAGTTTTTTGTTTGTTGTTTAGTATAAGCAGGGGAAACTATAAATTGGAGTTTGTTCCTCAACCTTCTATTTCTAATTCATTAGTATCCCTGGGTACTAGTAATGGATTTAAAAGAGATGCCACATTTTTACTATCAAAATGAAGTTCTGCTAAAGGTGAAAATTGTGCTCCAAATAAATAAAATTTACTCCAAAAATTATTGTAAATCAAATCGGAAGAGTTCCTATTTAGAGCCACGTCTGGCTGCCACAGTGATAACAACCAAAAAATTTAAATAAAGGGCATAAAGTTTACTAATCAGAAGCCATCTTCTCTGCTTTGTCTTGTGTGCATGTGTGTATGGGAGATTTTCTAGTATAATGCAGTTCTGTTCTTTGGTTTTTGAAATGAAAAGTAGTAGTTCGACAGAACTATGCTACTATGTCAGTTTACATAGTATTAGTATATTTGCTTTCTCTTGCTGCATAGCAGATCACCACAAACCCAGGGAATTAAAACATTTCCCCATTATGGTCTCACAGTAGACTCAATCTGGGTTCTGTGCTTGAGATTTTACAAGGCCTAAATTAAAAGTGTCAGCCCTCAGTGTCTGAAGAGCTGGGGAAATCTGCTTTAAGGGCGTTCTTTTGTTGGCAGACCTTGGTTCCTTGCAACGGTTGGTCTAAGGTCTGTGTTTCCAGGCTGGCTGTCAGGTGTCCTCTTCTAGAAACTACTCACAGTCTTTCTCAGATTGCCTATCTTCAAAACTAACTGTGTTGAATCCTTTGAATCTCTCAACCAGAGAAAACTCTTGAACTTTTTATGGCTCACTTGATGGGTCAGACTCACTTAAATTTTTAAGTCTGTATCTTAGAATCTGCTGACATAAAGCTCACTTACCTACTGGTGTAAAATCCCTTCACAGCAGTGCTTAGTGTTCAGATGTGCGTGCTCAGAATTGAATTGAACCCCGGTCCTTTGCAAGAGCAGACAGTGCTTTTAACCACCCAGCAGCCATCTCTCCAGCCCCCAAACCACCTTTCTTTAAACCTTTTCATTGGATCTTTTCAAGAACCCTGGGAAATTAGTACAAATAATATAAACGTTTGTACAAATAAAAGTAAACTAAGGGCTGCACAAAGGGTAAAGCACTTGCCTCCAAACCTGACCGTCTGAATTCGATCCCTAGACTCACATGATGGAAGGAGGGAATTAACTCCCACAAGTTATCCTCTGACTTCCACATGCATGTGTATGGCAGGCCAAAACCCATCCACCCACACAAATAAATACATATGAACATCATTAGAAAAAAATTCTTTAAGAGTAAACTAAGTGCAGGAGATATCATTTAGTTAATATAGTGCCTGCCTAGCATGCAGGAAGCCCTGGCTTTAATTTCCAGCACTAGGTAAACTGGGCATGGTGGTACATTCTTGTAATCCTAGGACTGGGGAGGTGGAGGCAGAATGATCATCAGCAGATCATGGTCATCCTCAGCTACATAGTGAGTTCTGGCCAGCTTGGGCTGCATGAGACCTTGTCTTTAAAAAAAAAAATTAATAATTTGAGCAGGATCACCTATTGATAAGAAGCAAACTCAAAAAATGTTAAGTTGGGGCTGGAGAGATGCTTCAGCAGTTAAGAGCACTGGCTGCTCTTGCAGAGGACCCATATGGCAGCTAACTCCAGTTCCAGGGATCCAGTACCCTCTTCTGACTTACTTGGGCACTGCATGACACCTACATACATGCAAGTAATACATTCATACACATAAAATAAAAACAAAATGTTTTTTTTTTTAATGTTAAGTCTATGGCTGAAGAGATGGCTCGGCTGTTAAGAGGTCACCAGAGGACTCTGTTTGATGCCCACCTAACTAAAGAAGAAAACAAATAGAAAGGAACCCACCAATGTATAGAAGCCCTCTTAGGCAGCACTCCCCTGTGCAAACATTCCAACCAATTCTTTTCTTCTGTAAGCAGTCATTTTTCTTTATTTATTCTTGGCTTCCTGTTTGCTGTTTTGTTATTAATTTGATGATCCAGAGTCAAACTCATAAGAAACTGTATAAGAATACTCAAGACTACTGTTTTAATCTTTGAAGGTCTTTAGATTCAAAATTGAGATTGTAACATATTGGTACTCTGGCCCTTGTTTTCTTGGCTTCACAAATAAGTCTTTTGGGGTTAAAATAAATAGTGCCTCTTCTCTTCCCCCGCCCTTGTTTTTTAATTGTGAAGCATACTAGCCTGGGTATTAAGGACTTCACATATGTTTTATGTTTGGGGGTTGAGCTGACTTCCTCTTGCTAATGAGTATAGATGCCTAGGTCTATGCTATTAGAAGTTGGGTTTGTGGTAATAGGAAGGAGGTAGGAGTAGATAGTTTAAAATTTACCTTCTGGTTCTGAGTCACAGGTACTGCATGCTCAAGCTACAGACTAAAGCTAGTGGCCTCCATGAGTTCCCTGATCATGTGACTGGTGATCAATCAGTTGTACTAAACACCTTTCTTAGAAGTCTGCCTTCTTTCCATCCTGAAACTGTTGGTGTGTACTTCATATTTTGCCAAAAAGACTCGGTAGAGGGTATAGACTTATTCTTTGTACATTGCAAGGACACAACATTAGAACTATCTGAGTTCAGTCAATTAAAATTGCTGAACTGTTCTGCCTAGCCTCAGTTGATTGGCTACAATGTACTGTTGTATAATACTGAGGAAGCATCTTTTATTTGGCTATTAAAAAGTCACCTTAAAAGTTCCATTGAGTTCAATTAAGACAGAAATTTGCTGACTTAACAAGAATTTGCTGACTAACCCACAGAAGGGTTTTAGTGACTTCTGCAAGTGTGCTTCTGGGAGGAATCAACACTCTTTATCTGAACCATCTTTGATTTCTTCGTTTTGCATACTCTGTGGTTTAGGTGTATGAATTAAGAAGCAAATTTTCTGTTTCAGTGTGAAATTTAATACAAATCTTTTTTATTGTATATTTAGCGGCCCTTGCAGTCATTTGGACAGACAGGAAAAAGGTCTAAGGTATAGTAACTGTTTGGTGTGCTGGCATGCCAAGGCCTTCCTTCATGCTTGATGAGTTCTTGTTTTCATACAGCACTACATTCAGTTTAGTTTTTTTCATGTTTTGTTTGGGGCAGAAAGCTTCTTTTGTTTTATTGGGGGTTTTTGTCTTGCCTAGTTGCTTTCGTGCATTGCTTTTATTATATTTGATGGGGTTTTTTTTTTAACCTGTAGAGGAAAATCGCTTTCTCACCATTCTTTGGTTTTTGAAATTGGAATTATTTCCATTCTTGCTATTGCTATACTTTTCAAAACTACAATTGTTTTCCCTCCTAACAAAGGGTTTTAGTGGTGTTTAATTGTGTATCTAACTTGTGCATTTCATCTACTTTTATACATGGGAGAACCTTAAAAGAAATTTACATACTCTAGGGCACTTTTGGATATGCCCTAAATTATGAAATATAGTGTTAATTTTAAATACTTCTCTCTAGTCAAGCTCAAAGTTAAAGCTAGTTCGGAGCCTTGCAGTGTGTGAAGAATCTCCACCACCTCCTGCAGCAGAGATATCACAGGAGACTCAGGTAAAAACAAAGCAAAACAAAAGTTGTTATTTGAAGACATGGTGGAACTGGAGATATTCTTTGATAATGAGTAAATAAAGTTGAGTTTGGATGTATTGTTTTATTTTTACTAAGGGAAACTGATTTGATAATGCTTGTCAACCAAAATTCGGATATGAAAAGTTGGAAAAATTAGTAGTCTTAAGCTTAGAGCAGAGATTCTTCTTTTGGAAACATACGGAATTATTTAGGAATGTGACTCTTAAGAGTTATAAATTATTATTGAAAAACTTCAATATTAAAGTCATCCTTCACTGATTATAATTATGCTATAATTCCCCCTTTGATTTTTGGGGTTTGGAAATTTGTCACATATTTACGGCTTCTATGGGAACTACCTGAGATTGTTGCTTTATATTTTACTTAGCCTGAGTGCACAGTAAAGCCGTTGTTCAATTTGTGTGGCTCTTTAGTAGTTGTCTCATACTTCTAAGTTCTCTTCTGTCTACTCTCATAAAGAATAGACTATCAGGATTCTAGTAAACTACTGAGTTTGCGCGTCCTATATTCTTTTTAATGGTGTGACTTTTCTGTTAATTTCAGCTGTAGATGATCTTTGTCTAATGCTCTTTGAACACAAGTGTTTTCAAATTTGCTGGTATTTATGTGATGACTGGGGCTGTTAGTGACTTCTACTTTATAAGAAAAGTTCAGGCAACCTAAAATAACCTTATATCCGAACAGTCAGTTTTCAGAAAAATGAAGCAACTTGTTTTTCTTTTAGAAACCATGACAGATCTTTTAAAAAGAAAAGGTGATAGGAACATTTTAAAAAAGTGTCAGCTGGGCCTGGTGATTGCGTGTCTTTAATCCCAACACTCAGAGGTAGAGGCAGGTGGTACCCTGTGAGTTCGAGGCCAGGTCAGGCTGGCTTACATACTGAGATCTTGTTCTCACCCCCCAAAAAACGAGATGTCAGTTGTACATTTGATGGTTCAAGCAAAACTTTTCTACTTTCCTATGACTTAAATGATGCCTTCAAAAGCTTACTATCGATACTAAAGATAGTTGTTACTATCGATACTAAAGACAGTCTGACTGCCATGACATGGGTGCATTTACATATATACAGGGAATACACTCATACACATAAAATAAAAATAAATAAAATATTTAAAATAGATTTTTTGTGTAATAATTCTTTTAAATAATTTTTTAACATTTGTTCCAGTGTCAGAAATATATATTTAAAATTCACTTGTGATTTATTTTAATATAGCGCTCTGTAGGACATGCATATGTGCATTTACTAGATAAAATAAATATATTTAGCAATAAAATTAATTTTTTAGCAAAAGGCAGACATACTGTCAAAATACTTTCACTGAGTACCATTGCCTAGAGAACAGTTTTAAATAGAACTCTTTGGGTCCTTTGTCTTACAGAATGTGATTATTTTACAATTAGGCATTACATAACTGGTTGTTAGTAAGGCTAAAGAGTTATTACATGTTCTGAATGGAAACAAACACAGTAGTATCGGGGGTTTTACAAGTCAGAATAAATATGCCTATTTATGGTGAAGCCATATGCAGTGTAGTATGTTTTGGAAGTTCAGTTCTTCATTCTGTGAATCAAAATGCAATGCCATCTTAGTCTCAGGGAGTTTAAGGGAATGAGAAGGATTAGCCATTCATGAGTGTGTTAATGCAAAGCAATGTATGCTTTTTTGAGAAAACTGTATTGTAGTCTTTTTCATTTTTCATTTATTTTACCTTGTGTAAAAAATGTTTGGGATGGTGGGGGTGGGGTCTGTCCAAGTTTGGTTTCTCTGTTTTTATAATAAACGCCACACCATGACCAAAAGCAACTTGAGGGGGAAAGGGTTATTTCATCTTAAAAGTGCTAGATCATAAGCCATCATTGAGGGAAGCCAAGGTAGGACCTGAAACAGAAACTAAGGAGGAATGCTCCTTACTAGCTTGTTTCTCCTGGCTTGCTCATCTAGCTTCTTTGTACAGCCTAGGCCCACTTGGCCTTTGGATGGCATCACCCAAGATGGGTTGGGACCTTCCACATCACTTAATGCCTCACAGACATGGCCACACACTGGCCAGTTTGGTCTGTGAAATTCTTCATTTAAGGTTCTTTGATCCCAAGTGACTTTAGTTTGTGTCAAGTTGACAAAAACTAGCCAGCACAGGATGTCTTATGATACTACAAAAATCTAACTAGTGAAAATTCCTATGAGACAGATGTAACAGAAAGATATATATTAACTACATATAACTTTTGTGTGTTTATATTTCAAAAGATTAATACCATATTCATAATGAATAAAATATATGTCAGAATTTGGTTATTTTACTTAATATGTTTCTCAGTTTTTCTTAATCTTTTCCTTTTGAGTAATAACCCATTATTGCGTCTCTAAGTAAAAGATACTTGGTTTTTTTATTTGTTTGCTTGGTTATTGTTGTTGTTTTTGTTCTTAGCGAAAACTTCTTTTCATGCCTTGGGTTGACTAAAATGTACCTGAAAGGGAGCTGGAAAATAAGTGTGCCACTAGCTATTCTGATTCTTGATTTAAGAGACATTTTCCAACTAATTTTGTATTGCTTTTTCCATAATGTGATTTCTTTTGAGGAATTAATATATAATGAAATTCATTATTTAAAAAAAAAAAGATTGAGAAGCAATTATAGGAGAAATGTCATTTATGTGTGATACGAGCTTATGAGAGGGTCAGGAGAGTTTACACATAAAACTTTCAGAATTCAAAATGGATCTTGTTTATTCAGTACTGAAAACAGAGCCAACTAGTGTCATGGCACCAGTCTTTTCTATAGTTTTTAAAGACAGTTCACCTTGAAAAATGGTTTGCTATCTAAAGTAATACCTATGACTTTGAAGAGGGAGTTTAAAAGTGAAATCTAGTCATTGGAAGTGCATTTTGGGCTGACCGTAGATGACTCGGTGGTTAAGAGCACTGACCTGGGTTCAATTCCCAGTACCCACATGGTGGCTAACAACCATTCGTAACTCCATTTCCAGGGGAATCCAGCACCTTCTTCTGACATCCTCAGGCACTGCACAACACGGGTGCACTTAACACAAGCAGCAGTACATTCATACATATAAAATAAAAATAGTACAATTTTTTTAAAGTGCATTTTGGTCAAGGCCTAGGAGAAGGCCAAGTGGAGTCTTTTTTTTTTTCCCCTGCCTGCATTTGTTGGGTTAGCCACCTGCATAACAAGAAGCTACAAGTCAAGAGACCTCCTAAATGTTCTCCTAAAAAAAAAGTTCTGGATTCATTTCCAAATAACTGAAAATTACGTGGATAATAAGAAAAAGAAGAGTTTAAGAACACTTAGAAAATGAATCACAGAAAGATGACATACTGGTTGGTGAATTCTGTCACTGTTCAGTAAAAAAGACAGAAAAGGCAGAAAGTACGTGTCTACCATCTTGGTGGAGACTGCCAATACATGGCATTTACCTGCTATTCTGAGCACGCTATTCTGATGAGGTATATCCCCAGCCCCTGACATTTGAATTGAGAAAGAATGGGAATTAAAAATTGAACAATGAAGAAAAAAGCCACTAATAATCTTACTGGTTTTTTAAAAATATTTTATTATTTTTATTTTATGTGTACGAGCATGTTGCCTGTGTGTATGTGAGTACACCCGTGTCGTGCAGTGCCACAAAGGTCAGAAGAGGACTTCGGATTCCCCTGGAACTGGGGTTAAGGACTGTTTGTAGCCACCATGTGGGTGCTGGGAATTGAACCTGGGTACTCTGCAAGAGCAGTCAGTGCTCTTAACCGCTGAGCCATCTCTCCAGCTCCAATCGTACTGGTTTTTTAAAAAATATATATATTTGACCAAAATTCTGCTAAAGGTTATTTGAGAAAAAATTATGTATGTGGCAAGGAAAAGTTTATTAGAAATTCTGCTGACTTAAGCCAGGCATGATGGTCCATGCCTTTAGTGCCAGCACTCAGGAAGCAGTAGCAGGCATATCTCTATGAGTTCAAGGCCAGCTTGGTCTACATAGTGAGTTCCAGGCCAGCTGGGGCTACAGGGAGATCCTGTCTCAAAACGACCAAAAGAAAAGAAAAGAAGAGAAAATTCTGCTGACTTAAGTTTGAGAATCCTGACATTTGTATCCTCCAAGTTACTGACTTGCCATTTCTACTATACCACCAACTATCCTGAAAGCTAAGTCACAAACAGCAGTATAATTTAGTCTGAAAGTAGGTCATACTTTTATCTTCAGTTGAAGTAGCCTAGAATTTATTGTAGCTTCCTTGGTAATTTTGCCCGAATAAATGGCTCAGCATGATTTTTGGCTTTTTGGGCTATGTTCATTAATTTTCAATAATTCCTTCAGGTTCTGAAATTCTTGTAATGACATTGTTTTCAACATATAAGAGTAGTTCACCATTTTAGTCTTAAGCGGTGTAGTTACTTTACAGTTGGTACATATCAGGAAGAAATAGAATCTTGTTTGAAATCTTTCTAAAGCTTGTGGTTGAAGGAGGCATAGTGATATATACATCTCAAATGATAAATCAAATATAGGTGGTGCTGGTTTTGAAAACCTTTGTTTTTCATTTTTCTATTGCAAGAGAGGAGAAGGCAGGTGCGTTCTTATAGTAGATCTCGGAAACCTGAATTTGTGCTAGGGATGTAGCTCACTTGGTGGAGTGCATGCCTAGTACTCAGGAAGCCCTGGGTTTGATCCCTAGAACTACAACAACCAGATGTGGTGAAGCATGCTTGTGATCCCAACACTTGGGAGATGGAGGCAAGAAGATCAGAAGTTCAAGATTATTCTCTACTATATAACAAACTCAAAGCCAGCCTGGGATACATGAGATCCTTATCCATAAATAAATAAATATACTAAATTTTGTTTATTTTTGATATGGCACGTTTCTGTTGTGATGATTGGTGGTAATTGTGGCCACTGAGCTTCTGCACTGGAGCAGTCAGTTTTGCCCTTTAGGGCATTTTTAAATCACTAAAACTATAACAGGAAACATTTTCTCCAGAACAATTTTAAGCTTATGTTTTAATTGATAAATTAAAATGAACATGCTATTTTAACATTTTTTTCCTCCAGACAGATATGATGAATATATTTTTAAGTTTTCTAATTTTAGAAATTCTAATTAAGTAAAGTAAAAATTTTCCCTTTTGTCCTGCATATAGTTTTTAGTTACTCAGGAAATGCAAGTATATAGTACTAAACAAATCACTTTATATTTTCATTGAATGACTAATTTTGTCTTTCAACAGGAAAAATTTCAGATCCAGTTAACACAATCATTTGATAAAGAGGAGAAGCCCTCAAAAGATGAAGCAGATAAAGAAAAAGCCAGTGATAAGTTGCCCAGAAAAATGTTATCAAGAGGTTTGCGATTTAATTACGTTTTTAAGCAAAATTTTCTTTTTACTCTTACTAAACCATCCGTTGCTTCTTGAATAACTCCATGTCACATATCTGTATTAAAAGTGGCACAGCAGCCAGGTATGGTAGTGCACACCTTTAATCCCAGCACTTGGGAGGCAGAGGCAGACGGATCTCTGTGAGTTCAAGGCCAGCCTGGTCTACATAGTGAATTCCAGGACAGCTCGGGTTACAGGGAGACCCTGTTCAAAAAGACCAAAAAAAAGTGGCACAGCAGACGGGAGGGATAATGGCATGTTTACTCATATGCTCAACATAGTTCTGTCTGCCTGTCATTTTCCCCAACCAAAGATTACAATATAATCTGAAGTTACTAAGTAAAGTGATTGTCTTAATCTTTTACTCATCTGTCTCTCATGTTCAGATACTAGAATCATAGTTTCATTAATTCCTTATCAATACAAAGAACGGATTCCATATTAGTATCCAATAAAAATATTCTTGGGAATCTAGAATGTTTTTCATAAAAAATATTTTAAAACTCTTCATCTTTGAGTGTTGCAAGCCAATAAAACTGCCTTTTAAGGCCAGATGTGCTGGTGCACGCCTTTAATCTCAGGAGACAGAGGCAAGCAGATATCTTTGAGATGGGAGCCAACCTGGACTACATAGTAAATTCCAGGCCAGCTGGGGCTACAGGAATACCCTGTCTCAAAACACAAGTCTTAATAGGGTTTATAAAATCAGTTGTGTGGACCAAAGTTATAAGGATATTACATTTAAAAGAAATAAATAAGCATGAATATTTGAAAAATATTTTAAAGGCAAACCTTCGGCACTAATTGACAAATCTTTCAAATAAATTATTTCAGAGCTAAAATTCTTATCTTCCAAATTACTACCACTTATATTCATACAAGTAAATTAAGCTGTTTGAATTTGCTATGAATGGAATTATCAAAATCAATTTTTCACCTAAGGAGGCATTTTTGAACATGAGGATGTGACGAGTACATGAGGGGATTGTTAAAGATGTAAATTCAGGGATTGGGGATTTAGCTCAGTGGTAGAGCGCAAGGCCCTGAGTTCAGTCCTCAGCTCCAGAGAGAAGGAAAAAAAAAAAAGATGTAAATTCACCTGGCATGTGTGAGACATTGAATGTTAAGAGTGCACATGCAGTTATATAAGCCCACGTCATGCAAATTATATGTTGGTTCAAATCCTATTCATCTACATTCATCATAAGTTCCCTTTTCCTTCCTTGTCAGTTTTTTTTTTCTCCCATTGTGGGGCATCTCATTTTACTTAAGATATACATCATGGGAAAGGGATTTGTCTTCAAACAACTTTATGCTGGGTTTTTGTGTTGTTGTTTTTTAGATTCCAGTCAAGAATACACTGATTCAACTGGGATAGATCTACATGAATTCTTAGTAAATACATTAAAAAACAATCCCAGGTAAAAACTAATTTATAAGTTTTACATTGCTTCTAGAATACCTTAATCTTGCTATATATGTTTTCATTATTGAGTTAGAGTGTTAAAATAAGACTGCAGCTATTTGGAGTAAAGGAGAAACACTTTAGATGGTTGGTCTACTAAATGCACATGTATAAATATGTTTTTGTATTATGCATGTCATCATGATATAAATAATCATTCCTCCCCTCTAGGAATTTTTAGGGGCAGGAAACACCAATATATTTAGGTTCTGAATTGGAATTGAGAAATAGATTTAATCATGAGGACGATATGGAGAAACATTTTTCCATAATATATTCCATCAAAATAAGAATTCAGGATATTCATTCAGTATGAGATTTTGAAGTTGGTTATATTCAGCTTTTGTTATTTCTTGCTGAGCTGTCAAACTTTCTATCAAAAACTTTTTACAGTGCTTATTTGAGTCACTATTTGAATTGTGAAACCTTTCTTTTGCCCAGCATAGTAGATGAGTAGTTTTTAACTTTCTGACAGATCATCAACCTCTTTGAGGCCCACAAGAAAATTGTCCACCATTATCTTGCCAGATTTTCATGTGGTAAAGGATACCAAGGTTAAGGACCTCTCTAGATTTTAGCTTCCCAATATGGTAGTTTTGTAACATACAATGGAATAAAAATGAAACAGTGCCAGTGGAAGTGAGCCACCTGGAAGGTAATGAAAACAGTATCTTCAGTCTCGCTGGGACTTCTAAATTCAGTCTTGTTCCGGCATGACTATTGACTGTTGCTTTCATTCAAGATTTGTTGTGTTTACTACCCTTCTGATTTTCTCCCTGGGAGAAATTCACCAAAATCCATCCTAAGTGTGGAATGAGCAAGAAGACAAGCAACTCTATATGATTTTTTTTTTATTTCCTAGTTTACATTTCTGCCTTAGTAGTCTCAGTAAGAAGATAGATTCATTAGTTCATTGAACAGGAACTTAATATGAAGTGCCTACCATGTACCAAGTACTATCCTAAACATTAGATGTAAAGATGAGGAAGACCTACAGTATTCATTGTCTTTGTGCTAGAGACACATGCTAAATAAAGTAAAACACATGTTGTAGGGCCGGGCGTGGTGGCGCATGCCTTTGATCCCAGCACTTGGGAGGCAGAGGCAGGCAGATCTTTGTGATTTCAAGGCCAGCCTGGTCTACATAGTTCTAGGACAGCTGGGGCTACAAGGAGACCCTGTCTCAAAAACAAAACAAAAACACATGTTGTAAAGGAGGTTGTTCAAGCTGCAGTAAAAATCAGAGGGGGAATAGGGCATGGTGGCTGACATCTATAATCCTAGCACTTGAAAGGCCAAGGAAGGAGATTTACTGTATGTTCCAGGCCACCTTGGGCTACAGAGCGAAATCCTGTCTCAAAATGCAAGAAGAAGCATAAACAACTGTGAGGTTCTCAACCTTTAGGGGATTTTTGGTTTGTTTGTCTGTCTGTTTGTATTTTAATTGCCACAACAAATGTGGAGAGCCACAGAGTCATAGGGATGCTAAAAAGGCCTATGAACACAGCAGTAAACAATCTTACTAGAAATACCAATTTTTTACCACTTGAGAATTGCTGAGTACAGCATGCTAACTTTGAGTAATTACCAAATTTTAAAGAGAACAATACCATTGTGAGATTAGTATTTTAAAAGAACATTTCTTAGGCATTTTAAAAAGATCACTTTTTCCACAGGTGTGGTGGTGGCAAACAAGTTTATTCTCAACATTCAGAGGCAGAGAGACAGGTGGCTCTCTGAGATAAGAGATTGAGGCCAGTGGTCTACAAAGCAAGTTACAGGCCAACTGGGGCTATAGGGAGACCCTGTCTCAAAAAGACAAAAAGGGGAGCGGGGGTTGGGGAGCTAGAGAGATGGCTCAACATTTAAGAACACTGACTGCTCTTACAGAGAATCTGGGTTCAAATCCCAGCACCCATATGGTGGCTAACAACTGTTGGTAACTCCAGTTCCAAGGGATCCCATGCCTTCTTCAGGCCTCCGTGGGCATTCCATGTATGGTGGTGTATTCACATACATGCAGGCAGGCAAAACACTCATATACATTAAAAAAATAATATTTAAATGAGTTAAGAAAGGAAATTAAAGATTGTTTTCTAATAGAACATCTTAATGAAAGAAGGAGGTTAACAAGCCATGAAATATAGAGAGGCACGGGGCTGGAGATGGATCAGTAATTAAGAGCACTGGCTGTTCTTGCAGAGGAGCCAATTCTATTCCCAGCACCCACATAGAGGCTAACAACCACCTATAACTTCAGTTCCAGGGAAATCCAACATCCTCCTCTGACCTCCACGGGCATTGCTTGACATAGGTGCACTTACACAGATGTAGGCAATACACTCATATGCATAAAATAAAAATAAAATTGGGGGGAAAAAAAAACAGAGAAGCATTTGCCAAGCCTGCTACTAGAGGCCCATAATCTCAGCTATTCTTGAGGCTGAGACAAAGGGACTGAGTTCAAGGCCAGCCTGAGAGCCTTAATAAGGTCTCCAAATAGAAAATAAAAAGAGGACTGGGAGTATAACCCAGTGATAGTGCATTTGCCTAACATGCATGGACCCTAGTTTGAATCCCCAATAGGAGGGTGTGGGCACACCAGGAAATATGTCAGGACATGATTATTTGCATATGGAAAAGAAATGAGAATAGAGCCTACATTTCTGACCTCGCTGATAACCAATCCCATTAACTAAGAGTAAGGAGTAGGTATAAATAGAATGGAATAAACAGTTGATAAGTTCAGTTTCCAAGAGAATGAGTCAGCATTGAGAGCATTGAGTTACAGATTAAGGAGTCCTCAGTAGAGGTAGAGCTTCTTAGAGATAGGTTTGCCCAGAGAGTTTCAACAAATGAGCAGTACAGAATTCTCTGAAAGACTAGGCTTAAAAAGTAGATGAGGGGCTGGAGAGATGGCTCAGCAGTTAAGAGCACTGACTGCTCTTGCAGAGGACCCAGGTTCGATTCGGTGGCTGTGAATGGTCCTTAACTCCAGTTCCAGGGCAATCAAAAGCCCTTTTCTGACCTCCACAGCATTGCACAACACAGGTGCACTCACTTACATACAGGAAATGCACTCATACACATAAAATAAAAATAATAAAATATATATTTTTTAAAGGTAGATGAAAGGACTTGGTTCCCAATGATAGACTTGTAAGGATATTTGGCATGGAAGTTAACCAAAGGAGAGCAGTTTCACAGAAAGTGAAATAGCTGAAAGACACTTAGAAGTACCAAAAACTTTGCATTACAATGAGAACTCAGTGGGTTGAGGAATAAGTGGGACGGTAAACAGATACATAGCTAGCTAAGTTGAGTAAATCAAGATTGAATTGTAGGTAGACAAACCTTTTCCTCTTAACCTTTACCAAAAAAAAAAAAAAAAAAAAAAAAAAAAACCAAAAAAATTAAGGGTTAGAGATTAGGAATACATTTGTATACATTTAAAATTAATTTTCTGTTGTGTAGTTATAGTTTCCTCTATAAATACAGCAGCTCTTTAAATTACATGTTCTTTTTAATTGTATGATTTAACATTTTTAGTATATCACAGGTGTTTGCGGCTGTCAAAGTTCTTAGACGTTTTCCTCATTTTCTCCCCCCCACCCAAAAAAATACCCAGCAAACTTTAGCCATCACCATGCTTATAATAAAGTTAATAAATTGGGGCCGGAAGGCTAGCTCAATGGTTAAGAGCACTGGCTGCTTTTGCAGAAGACCCGGGTTCAATTCCCAGCACCCACATGGCAGCTTACAACCATCTGTAACTCCAGTTCCAGGACATCCCACACCTTCTTCTAATCTCTGCAGGCGTTGCACAATATGGGTGCACCTACAGGCAGGCAATATACTCATACACATAAAATAAAAATAGTAAATAAAATATTTTTAAAATAAAATTAATACATTACTCCAGTCTTTTTTTCTTAAACTTTTTAAAACTTTTATTTATTATTTTTATTTTATGTTTATGCGTGTGTTGCCTGCATGTAGGTAAGTGCACCCATGTCGTGCAGTACCCATGGAGGTCAGAAGAGGCTGTTGGATCCCCTGGGACTGGAGTTAGGGACAGGTGTTAGCTGCCATGTGGGTGCTGGGATTTGAACCTGGGTCTTCTGTAAGAACTGTTCTTAATCGCTGAGCCATCTCTGCAGCCCCTACTCCAGTCTTTCTAATGTGTTTTCTATTCCTGTATTTTCCCTCTCCTGGGCATCTTTTGAATCAAGTTTTGTTCATGCTGCAGCTTGCATCAGTGCTTTATTTCTGTTTATGCAATTTTTTTATTTTAAATATTTTATTATGAGCATTGTTGTATAAATAACTGTGGTTTTCATAAGCTCTCATATATTTACAATTAACAACACACTGTTTATGCAATTTAAAAAAAAATGTATTAAGTACACCCGTGTGGTCCAAACCTGCAGAAACCAGAGAGGGAGTCAGATCCCCTAGAACTGGAGTTACAGAAGGTTGTTAGCCATCATGTGGGTGCTGGGATTCAAACCTAGGTCTTCTGCAAGAGCATCCAGTGCTCTTAACCACTGAGTTGTCTCTCCAGCCCCGTTTATGCAGTTTTATTGAAGCAAATAAATGAGCAAATAATTCATGTAACACCTGATGTTTGTTATCGCTAATGTCAATGTTGATGTAAAAATTTAAAACTAATGTTAAATTTTATGAGAAATAAGATTTTCTTGCTAAATGACTCAACAATCTCTTAATGAAGCAGATGCCTAATACTTGGTCCCCAATTGTTAGTAGCAGATTTCCACTAAACGTTTCAGAATTGAAACCTTTTGTCCTGAGGAAATCTACTTGATGCTCAATGTATATTTGTTGTTTATTATGTTGTTTGTTTGTTTGTTTTGTGTGTGTGCCCCATTGTGGCTCTGTGAAGGTCACAGGACAATTTGCAGGAATGGATTCTCCTATACACCACATGGGTCTTGGGGAACAAACTCAGGTCATTAGGCTTGGTGACAAGAGCCTTTGCTAGTACAACCATCTCACTAGTCCTATTTTTTTTAAAGTTCTAGGGATTTAACCTAGGGTCTCATGCATTCTTAGGCAAGCATTCTACCACTGAGCAAGAGCCCCAGCCCTTCAGATGTTTTCTTCAGATCATTAAATCATCTCTATTTTAATTCTTAACCTAATAAACTTAATTTGAACTGATAATGAAGTATCTGGAATTTCTATTTGCAAGAAATATTTTTAGTTACCTTACTAGCTAGACTACTGACTTAGAACCAAGGAACCTGAAAGTGTGTTTGACTATTATATTTTCCAACATAATTTTATTCCTGTTTATGTGTTCAGTTTACAGCCATGTTTAAGTTTAGTAAGTTGAAAAGAAATATTATAAAGTAACTATATATTGTGTAACTAATGGTGGGGAGCAAGTCCATGAATTAACCTTGAGAATGGATTTTTTTTTTAAGTAATTGGGTTTTTGCCCATATATAATTGTTCCTTTTTATGATATTCCTAAAAAAATCACTTGAGTTAGAGTACTGTTTAAATCACTGTATATTCTTATGTGTTGGAGATATATGACCAAGGGCATGAAACTTTGAGTAGGACATGATTTGATAGAGGATTTTTGTTCTCTGCTTGTCTAATTTGCTGTGTTGTTTCTAAAGTGAGTTTTGAACAACCAAAAACAAATAAATTGTTGCTTCTTAAATTTAGTAGATTTATGTTGTTTGATTGAGATCCTTGTTTTTATGATCTCCTTAATGATAGCATATATTAGTCATTTTAAAAGCTACGTGTGTTTCATTGTGTGTTCCTGCTTTTAGATGATGATGATGATGATGATGATGATGATGATGATGATGTTCATGTTGTAGGGGTTGCTGTTGTTATTCTGGTCTTTAGCATGCTGAGAAAGCATTCTTCCAGTGAGCTTCATGCCTAGCCCTAGATGATTTACTCATGTGTTAAGCATTAAGAAAAGTAATTTGTGGATTTATTAGTTCTAGTACAATATAGTATTCCAATAAAGGATTAACCTTCAGCTTATATCCATTACTGAATACCTATAACCTTAATTATAGACTTGAAAATTTGGAGTTTTTGACTCCTACAGTAAATAAAAGGCAGAAAGACCTTAGGAAAGTTACTGCTTCTGTTTTTCTAGTGAGTTCCAAGAGCAGGGAACATTCATTAAAATAACTGATTGAGATACTGATACAAACATCCTTTGTAATCCATTTAAGGTCGCTTTCTGTCAGTGGCCAGTAGAATTGTTAAATTTCATTTCTTTCATGAAGACAATAGGATTTTTTTTCCAGCTGCTGTACATTCACCCAGTGAATGTACATTTGAAGTATTTTCCTATCAGCTATTCAGTTCATGCACCAAAAACCAGTTTACATGCACTGTTTTGTGACCTCTAAATAAGTTGTTGCTTCATATACTTCTTTATGTTTTTACAGTAGCACAGTTTATAAAATATATCATCAGAGTTACTGGAAATTACATAATATCAAAATAAATTTACCGCAAAAGTTTAGATGTTAAAAAGGAGCTGAGTTAAGCAAACAGATCCTTTGGGAGGGTGTAGAGGGGGTTGGTTGATCCTATGAAATAAAAATCTTCCGTTTTTCCTCAAAAAATTTAAGGGAAGAAAATATGTAAAGACTTTCTGTATGAAATAACATTGTTAATTTATTCCTTGCAAAACATATTTGTTGAGAACCTGTATATTAAATATAATTCATATATTTATATAATGATAATTGAGATAAAGTGTTTTTAAAGTGTGAAAGAAAAGATTTTTCCTTTGTAAAAGGACATTCTGTGAAACAATAATAGCTTGTTTAAGGAGCAAAGAACAGAGATAAGCCAGAATAAGTGAGACTTCTGCTCGTGCCTGTCTTGTAGTCCATATTACAGAAGTTGAATTCTAAAAGCAACGAGAAACTTCTTTCAGATTGAAGCACAGGAATGCTATGTGGTTACAGATGTATTCTTATAAGACCATTATGTATGCTCCACATACATAATAAGAAAAAAAGTATAGGGATATGATGTTGAGATCTTAATGGCTGGGACCCAGGATTGTGGCAGTGGGACAATAGAAGGTAGATCAAATTTGAAGCAGTAGTTAACTGAGTAAGAGAATTATAAAACGGATGGTATCAGGCACAGAGACCTGTACTTGTAATCCTAGCACTCAGAAGACTGAGGTAGGACACTCTCAAGATTAAGGCTATGCCAGATTACATCATAAGATACTCTTTTTATAAAAAGGAGTGGGGGCGGGGGGAACTGTGCCTAATAGTGAAGTTTACAGTCTTAGCTACTCACAGGACTGAGGCAGGAGCATGGCAAATTCAAGACCCCCTCAACAACTTAGTATAAGATCCTGTCTCAAAATAATTTCTTTTTTAAATCAGTAGAACAAAAGGGGGGATGAGGACCTAAGTTTAGATTCCCAGCACTCATGTAAAAAGCCAGGCATGGGGCCTGCAGAGATTGCTTAGCAGTTAAGAGTAAAGCACCCACTTTTGGGAGCTTACAACCAACTGTAACTCCAGCTCCAAGGGATCCTCTGTCCTCTTATGACTTCTTAGGGCATCTACACACATGTGCCCATACACTCACACACATGTGTACACACACACACACACACACACACACATAAATAAAATCTTTTTAGAGGCTGGGCATTATGGTACCTGCATATAATCCCAGTTCTGCAAAACAGATAGGAAAATCCTGGGGGCTCACTGGCCAGCCAGTCTAGATTTACTGAGATGAGGCATATTAAAGAAGAATTAAATTTGAGAATAAACTTGAATGTTACTGGAGTTTGCTTTAAAATGTACTCCTATTTCTAGATTTGGGGTTGAAATCAGGAAGTAGGCATAGTTTTCTCTTGACCTTTTTTTTTAATTGAATTTTTTGTTTATTTCATACAGAACATCTAAAACAATCTTAATCATCTTTATAACCCCGTCCCCACTGGCACCCTCTCATAGTCCCCCCCCCCCGCCACTGGAGCCCATATGCTCTGTCATCCCTGTGGGGATGGGTTGTCAGTGTCCCCAACCATTCCCTAGTGTAAGTCTTGACCTTTTTTTTTTAACCTGCTATAAAATATGTAGTTAAGTTTTTGTTGAATAAATAAGTGAGCAGAATATTGCTAATTTTCTGAGATTTCTTTTGCAGTGCACAGGGAGGATTAAACTCAGTATTATTGCACAGACTTTCAGGTGACCCAAGCAGAGGCTACCAACTCCTGTGTTAAAATTTGAGGTTCCACTGTATAATGTTTAGAGAATTGTTACCCCTTAAGCCTTCTTGAACTATAAACTTGCTTTAAGAATCTGTGAGTTTTGTTTTGTTTGCCACATGAATGTGAAATCTGCAGTGAGCCCAGGAAAACTCTAGAGCCATGTTCTTACTGTGTAAGACTAAGGGACATGGTTACACTGACTTCTTACTGCATAAGTGCCCTAAACAGGACCCTAGTAATCTAAAGGCACATATGTAGGTACTCACCTAAGTGTGAATTCATTTTAGATGTTGAATATATTTGATTTAAAGCCTTAAAAAAACACATAGTAGGCCAGGCATGGTGGTGCACGCCTTTAATCCCAGCACTTGGGAGGCAGAGGCAGGTGGATCTCTATGAGTTCAAGGCCAGCCTGGTCTACATAGTGAGTTCCGGGACAGCTGGGGCTACAGGGAGACCCTGTCTCAAAAAAAAAAAAAAAAAAAACCCAAAAAACATAATAGCAGCTTACAAAATGATTTGGAGGGTTATTTCCTGAAATGAACTTAGTAATATAGTTCATGCTGTTCTGCTAGACCCCCTTTTAAATAAGAGCATTGGATTCCCATAAGAGTATTTCTGTTACTATAATTGCATCTCATGTTCTTTAGAATACTTTTTCTGTGGAGCTCAACATAACAGAGTTAGGCTCCTAGTACATTGTATGTGGGAAACTTACTCTATAGTGAAAAGTTAAACTTAAAAAAAAAAAAATCTTATCTTAAAATCTTTCTTTTTTGAAAAAAGTTTGTAAATATTCTAGCATCAAACTTGTGATAGCTCTGAATGTTTTGTTTTTAGGCAAGATATTAGCTGTGTAAATTCATAACCTGTTGACATTTGTGACTGTTTCAGTGTTAAATTTTACATGTAAGAGTCTTTATATTTTCTTTCAGGGACAGAATGATGCTGCTGAAATTGGAGCAAGAAATTTTAGATTTCATTGGTAATAATGAGTAAGTCCTGACATTGCACAAGAAAAAAAAAAAAAATTCTCATCACAATTTTCCTTGACTTACTCAATTGATTTTTCTTCTTCTAGGTCTCCACGTAAGAAGTTTCCCCCAATGACATCTTACCACAGGATGTTGTTACACAGAGTAGCTGCCTACTTTGGATTAGACCACAATGTTGATCAGAGTGGAAAGTCTGTCATAGTTAACAAAACTAGCAACACAAGAATGTGAGTGTCCAGAGATATAGATCACATTATGTGTCTGTGTACTAATACTTGCCTTCCTACAGCACCTTTTATCTGCAGTAAGTTTCATAATAACCTTGTGTGATGGAACAACAAAAGTACATTTAGCTGACTAGGAACAAAGTGGAAACCTGGATTCCAATAAGGAAGATGAATGAGAACTGTTTGGAAGGAAAAAAACAAAAAACAAAACTGAGAGGACATGTTATCAGCATGTTTGACCACTGCTCTTAATGGAGTTTTAAAAATTATTTTAGATAGCCATGGCCAGCTTCAGGCAAATTTGTTTAAATAATATTTTTTAAAACGTGAACACTCTTTTTAACACCCTCACAGTCAGCCTACCACTTTACTGTCCTTTCCCAAATCGCATTTATGTTTCTTTGTTTTGTTTTGTTTTTCCTTTTTATCCCCCCACATCTGAAGAAACTGGAACTCTTGGTTAGCATAGTACCTTCTATACTGCTGTGTTTCTCTCCTGAGCTTTAACTTACTGAGGAAAATTTCTGAATGATTAGGAGGAGCCTGTTGCTTTAAAAGATTCAACATGGGGCTGGAAAGATGGCTCAGCAGTTAAGAGCACTGACTGCTTTTGCAGAAGACCCAGGTTCAAATCCCAGCCTACACAGCAACTAACAACCATCAGTAACTCCAGTTTCAGGGGATTCAGTGCCGTTTTCTGTCCTCCATGGGCACTGTATGACACAAGTGCACTTACAAACGTAGGGATAATACTCATGCACATAAAATAAAAATAAATAAATAAATAAATAAAAGACTAGACATAGACATATAGCTCAGTAGTATAACACTTGCTTAGCAATGCTCAAGGCCCTGCACTCAGTCCCCTGAACTTTTTTTTTTTTAATGTCCTCTAGTCTCAGCCTCCTGAGCATTAGGATTATAGGTCTGTGTCACCATATAAGGCACAGAGGATTCTCTGTATCATTTTCATTTATGGTGGAAAGGAATCTACTGAGTAATGAGTAGTAGTCCCTTTCAGGTGCCATGAATAATGTTTTTCATTCCATTTTTCTGCCTTTTCTCAGGTCAGACTTCTCCCAGAGTCTTGACTATGAACCATTCATTTATATTTAATTCATCTAAGTCCCTTCTGTTATCATGGCCTTTGTGCCTTTATAGCTGCCATATTGCTTACTGAAACAAAACTGGGGTGCTTCCATTTCAAACAGGTTTTTTCAACTAAATAGTTATGTTTAATATTTTAAATGACTATTCCTACAACTAAAATCAATAAAAGTAGTTGCCCTAGAGGGAAAATCCTCTCTTTGGGGTTTGTTAGAACATATAAATCTGAATTTGTTTTCATATCTGTCCCTTAGTTTAAAAACATCTTTTCCAAGCTAATTATGTAATGACTAAAATAGGATAGTAACTATTAAGATATGAGTGGAAGTAAAAGTGAATTGAACTATAATTCCTTTAACCGGTACCTTTCAACATTACTCAGAGCTGCTGGATGCCCAAACACATGAACATTAGCAGGCATTTTGACTAACATTTTGACTGACAACTCTCTAAGGTTTTCAATACAGTGTAACCTCAGTTATTTGAATTCTATGAATGATGTCAGAAAGCTTTAGGGTTCTGTTTATCAAGGTAATAAAAAATTTAGTTAAGCAGAGATTTATGAAGTATGGGTTAAATGTAATTATAACTTAAGCATTTCGGATCATTGAAGTTACACTGTATTTTTATTTTTATATCTTCTGGGTTATGAAGAAGGTTTTAAATCAGAAAACCTTAGAGATCTGCTCCACATTGAATAAAAACAAACTTACCTTTTCCTCATAGGGAGATTACCCGCTCCAGCCTTGAACCAGTGGTGTTGTGGATGTCAACAACCGGGTGTCCACTGGGGTGTCTCAATGGAGCGGGAAGTTGGCGTTTGCAGGGCAGTAAATTCAGGCATCTATAAAAGAAAGAGGTAAGACAGTCTTAAGGTTAGCTGAAATGCCTGCCAATACTGTTTGTGTGGGACTCCAGCTGTTCTTAGAAAAGTTGCCAGGGCCTTGGTTAAACTGTAGCATTCACTTTGGAATAATAGTCTCTCACTCAAGTCCAGATGCTTTGAATAAGAAAATGTGACTTTGTACAGCTACAACTATAAATGATAAAAGTAAATGAAGCAATCCTGTGACAAAAATAGCATCCTGCCATGGTCAGAACTAAATAGATAACCTTTCAAACCCCAAAACAGCAAACTTCTCATCATTTTTGGTCCTGAAGCGTTGTGCTCTTAGCTTCTCTTTTACTTTGTTATAATTTTTTGTGGATATCTGCTCTTCGTTTCACTCATTATTTTACAATAGGGATTTCTTTATCTTGCTTAGATAATTCTCATCATCAAATCTCCTTTTGTATTATTTAAAGAAATTATCTTCAGTCCTTTATTAAAAATTCACTGGATTAAAACAAATATTCCACATTGGGTCCTATATAATGAAATATCAGATCTTAGTTTACTGGAAATGTCACTGCTTGGGTTTATGGTTAAAATTTGATTTACAGTATTCTCATGCCTATATTATACATATATGCAAATATGTATATATATTTCAACTAAATATAAAAGAAGCTATTAGGAAATGAATTAGATTTTCTTTAGACTTAATAATATGTCATGTATATTTTATAATTTCAGTGTACTTAATAAATTAATATTAAGTCACAGAATATTGATTGAATTAACTTGAAGCTGAGAATATACTTGGGGAGGTCAAATTTGATAAAATGGTGATTCCCCTCACCGCCCAGCCCCCCAGCCACTCCTAGGACCACACAGTCTAGTATCTGTCTTCTAAGTCACAGTGAAACTTGCAGCATTTCTAATCTGAAAAAAAAAAAAAAAATCTGCTGCAAAATATGTAGGTAAACTTCATGATAATTACTTTGGATCCCAAAGTTAATGTCTGATAAGAGCTTATCTCTTCTAATCTGTTTTAGTTAATATAAAACAAAATGATCCTCATATACTTAAGAATTTTTAGCAACTTGCATATATTCGCAAGTAGTCTCTTAAATGTTTTCTCTAATTCAGTCCAAAATATTTTGATTGCTTTCTTTTATATGGCATGAAGCTAGATACTGTACTATATGATGCAATGCTGTACCTTCATCTTGGTCCTAGAAATGCAGTCAGGATATCAGGCTGTAGGTCTAATAGCTCTGGGCTCCAGCTATGGCTTAGTCATATGCTTACAAAGGGTAATTTGATTTAGCCATCTGCAGCTCAGTTTCCTCCATGTTCAGAATAACAGCAGGGTTCTGCTGGGTGCTCTTTCTGTGTTATTTCATTTCACTTCAGAACAACACTATGAGGTAGATACATTATATAATTCCCTTGTTCTAGATGAGGACATGAGAAGAAAAAGATTAAGTGCTTAGACAAGTCCTAAGGTGAATACTATGGTGGTAAAGTTAGACAATTGAGCCCAAGCTGTCTCACCCCAGAGCCCATGCTGTTTTTAATAAGGCCTCTGAACAATCATCCGGTGGAATAATGTTTCCTTATGAGATTATTACAATGATGAAATGAGATTACACGAGTATCTCTTACCAACACTGATAAATAGCAGTGTAACTTTTACTTTTCATACAGACTTGTGTTTTACCTTTCTGTAAATATTACACATTAAATTTTTTGTTCCTTTGTCTTGGTTCTTGTTTCAGACCTGATCAGAAATTTAATGAACATATTAAGGATGACAGAGGTGAAGACTTTCAGAAACGATACATCCTTAAGAGAGACAACTCTAGCTTTGACAAAGATGATAACCAGGTAATACATAGAAAGTATTCTTTTAAGTTCAAGCTTTAATTATAGCAATAATTCATTTTCTTAAGAATCTGTTGTTTTCATTTCTTTAGATGAGAATACGTTTAAAAGATGACAGAAGAAGCAAATCTATAGAAGAAAGAGAAGAAGAGTACCAGAGAGCTAGAGACCGAATATTTTCCCAGGATGTATGTGCTAACTTACACTTAGGACTTCATGTTAGAGTACATTCTAATTTCCCCTTAATCTATTGATCACTTTTTTTTTCGGGGGGGGTCTTTTTGAGACAGGGTCTCCCTGCAGCCCCAGCTGTCCTGGAACCCACTATGTAGTCCAGGCTGGCCTGGAACTCCCTATGTAAACCAGACTTTCCTTGAACTCACAGAGATCCTCCTGCCTCTGCCTCCCAAGTACTGGGATTTAAGGCGTGCACCACCATGCCCAGCCTGATCACATTTTTTTATTTTTATGTGTATGTGAGTATATTGCCTGCATGTGAATCCATGTCATGCAATGCCTATAGCGGTCAGAAGAGGGCATTGGATCCCTTAGAACTGGAGTTACAGATGATTATTAGCTGCCATGTGGGTGCTGAGAATTGAACCTGGGTCCTCAGCAAGAGCAACTAGTGCTCTTAACTGCTGAGCCATCGCTCCAGCCCCTAATCACATTTATTTAAATGTGTTGGTTACCATAAGGTAGGTCACCTTTTGAAAATATTGAGGTGGCTTGTTCTTGTTAATAAATTTGATACTGGTGCATTACAACAGTAGTGTTGCAACAGTAGTGTGAAATTTTACAAAATTAGATACAGGTTATTTATATAATGGTTTTTCAAGCTTGTGACAGAATTGAGGTTTTTAGGACATTTGTAACAGTCCATATATCATATGCTCTAAATCCTGTTTGTTTATAGTAGACTACCTTAAGAAATAACTTGTATCTTATAAAATAATTTAGTTGATCTTTTGGATTTATACTATGAATGTATTGCCTGCATGTGTTTAAGAGCACCCGTGTCATGCAATGGAGGTCAGAAGAGGATGTCAAAATTCCCATGGAATGGGAGTTAGGTTAGCCACCATGTGGGTACCTGAGAATAGAACCTGGATCCTCTGCAGGAGCAGGCAGTGCTCATAACTGCTGAGCCAACTCTTCAGCCCCTCGTTTTCTACTTCATAAATGATTATATGAGAGAAATCTAGAGTCAATATTTGTTAGTCACCTGTTCATTGCATTACTTGGTACTTTTCAAAGGTATATATATATACATATATATATATATGTATATATATGTAATAA